CAGAAGCACAAACTGGAATTCACAATAAACTGAAAGCCATATTGTTTATTCACCACCCTCAAGCCTCCAAATTGATGATGACATGTTCTTCTATTAAAAAGTTAAACCCACACCTGGTCTAGGAGTCAGAGAAGTGAAGGAGCTGGAGCAGATACATGCCCATCGTTGTCCCAGGCATTACGATGAGCCGACATATAAGCATCAGTGTGTATAAACTGCAGCAGCGCCTGGTGCCTCTGCACCTACTTTCTGAGCATTAAAGGAACATGATTGCCTCTTCTGCCTTCCAATCTTGCACAAAATGTCTCTTGTGACTCACGCGAATATGGTACTATTCAAGGAAAGGGATTCTGGGAAATGTAGTTTCAGTTTGGCTAAGTTGACACATATAAATCCTCTACGTTCCACCCAGTGTCAATCTGCCATCTATATCCACCTCCTTAAACCACACTTACCTTACAAATATAGGCAAGATCATGCTTCTGTTTAACATAATGCAACAATCCCCTCACATAACCGAAAACACGGTAACCCTCCAAAGAAGAGACTGTCTATTGACCCATCTTCAGGTGATGTTCATTCTAGCTGAGTCCCACTCCCCCTTGATATTCTGTAACTCAAATACAGAGATACGAAATTAGCTCCTACTAACTATCTTATGTTAGATACTAGAAGAATAGGACACGGGAAGACAAATATATATTTTTTATATCAAAATAAAGAAGAAATACTCAAACTATTACATTCTTTGTTTCCGTAACTGGTCATGTGGTCACAGTTGGTGACTAAAACTCCCGTCTTCCTCTACTCAGTTCCCTTTGCCCTCAGCAAGCACTTCAGATGGCCATGGTTCCTTGTCTGGTAGGGTAACCCAGGCCTTCATTCCTGAAGGATCTGGGCCACCAGCAGTCCTGCCTGAATCCAGTTGATGTGGTTTTTTCATTGATTCAGTCACAGAACCTGGCAGTACCAAAGAGGTGCCCTATGGGATCTCTTGCATTCCAGACATCGTCCTCCTTACTCCCATTGTGTGGAAGCAGCCCAATTTCTCCTTAGTAATCAAGATCAATCATCCCAGCCATTACAGTAACTCCCTTCTTTGCCTGGTGACTTGCTGGTGTAAGTTGCCAAACAAGGTAGGTGGCAGTCTACACTTTCAGTTTTGTGGAACCACTACTGTGTCGTCTGGTGGAAGTATTCCTTACTTGGAAACTAAAACGCCTAAGAGTCATAAGTCTTGAGTACAGGAAGCGAAAATTTCACTGCTTGAGCTCTAGTGAGAAGAACTACTCCATTTCTCGCCCCTTCATTCCTAGACCTGTGAGTCCTCACTGTGGGAGAACTGGTATTACCTATTGGTTGCTGATTTACAGCATATACCATTTCCTGGAATTGTATCCCAACCCTGCCATTCTGGGGTCTGGAGTAACCATTCATAACCGAGCCTTCAAAAAGCCATTCTACCTTCTATCAGGCCAGCTGCTTCAGGGTGATAAAGAATATAATCATGCCAGTAAATGCTACGAGCTTGAGCTCATTGCTGTACTTCATTGGCTGTCATCCCTGGGAACAGGGTCATTAATGACACTAAATCTAATCATGTCAGAGAATCGATTCCAGATAATGCAAAACTAATTCAGAGAACCTACCCTTAAGGTTCTGTTCCTGTGGAAACACTTCCACTACCAAAATCTGTGTCAGTCAAGGTTCAGTCAGAAAAACAGCATTAGGATTTACTAAAGAATTTGAGCTTACATACTTGTGGGAAGTTGTTAAACAGTCTACATAAGACATTGTCTTTACATCTGGTACTGAAATTTGAGGCCACTGGGAAGGGAAAATGAATGTGAAGGGAGGACAGAAAAGAAAACTTGGACCCCACAAACCGTTGGTCTTTAAGTCTCCAACTTTGGTGACACGAATGTCCTATAGGAGCAAAACATGTACCTGGTGCAGAAGTCAGAGAAGCTGAAGGAGGATCTGGCAGGAGCTGAAGTAGCTGCATGCCCAGGGCTGCCTGCTGGACACCAGCAAGGTGAGCCAGCAGATAAGTGATGATATGCAAGAGCTTGGTTCACCAACTCTTCTGGCATAAAACAACATGGCTGCTGCTTCACTTCTGCCTTTCAAATCTCAATTAAAATTTTTCTTGTGACTCGTGCTAACATGGAACTATTCAAAGAAGAGGATTCTTAGCTAAGTTGGAGTAGTACAAACCCATGAGAATATGTAACCTTTATAGCTAACACGGTGAACTGAAACTGGTCCCACTAAATGAGACAGCAGTCTTTCTGATGAGTTTGAGACAACAGTGGTACGTTGGTTTCAATCTTTTCTGCCCTAGTGTTTTAAGCACTTTTTCTGTCCTACAGATATTCAGTGAAGTATAATAGTTATCCTGGTTTATTTTTAGAACTGTTGTTGCTAGCAGTGAAAACCCATGTTAAATAACCAGTGACTACTGCTCATGGTGTATTTTGTTGAACAGACAGAGTGCTCAGTTCTGAACAGACCATGGAGGCACAATTGGCCTGTGGCCAGCTGGCTTTCCATCTGAATATAGCTCAATGCAGTTAGGATCTGTTTCTTGTTAAAGGTTTTTACATCTAGACCTCTAAACAGATTTTTTCCTCTCTTATTTTATTTTCAAAGGGAAAGTGATTGTAAACTTACCTTTCTAAATTCACTTTTCCCTTTTGAAGATTTAACGTCAGTAAAAGGATGAAAGTGATGAATGTTTGAGGATAGAGTTGCTCTCATGTTGTAGATATTGCTAGAGGTTGAGCAATCTAGGGGGCCATGAGGAAACATCCCTATTTCCTTCTAGATTCCAACCAAATGGAGATAGACTCCCAAACTGTCAGCCTCATTGTTGCTAATCACCTCCAGACTTCAAGGCTTCTGTAAACTGTGGTGGTCATGTAGCTTACAGTAGGGGGAGCTTCTTCCCCCTGAGTCTTATAGACTGGCTGTGAGGATAGCCAAACTTGTAGGGCAGATACCAAGTACCTTGTTTATTCTAACCCACTGCAAGGTTAGCAGGGTGGCCTCATGTACGTTGTCACTGTCAGGACAAGGAAAGTGAGCAATAATAGGCATACACATGCAGAAGAACAGATGTGCTTATGTGCTTAACAGGGCAGCAGGAGGTTAAGAGGAGGGCTAGAATGAAGGAGCATGCACCTCATCCGATTCCATGGAGATGCCTGAGAGCAAGAAGGCCCGCCACACATGAACCACGTGCTCTACCCACTGAAAACCTGAGTCATTCTGCTTCCTAGGGGGAGGACGAATATGAGACCAAAAGAGGTCTCCCCAGTACTCACCCTTTCGAGGCAGGGGACAGAAGTCCCTAGTTATGCAAATGTGAGGTGGGGAGGATAAGACTGCCTCCAACAGATATAGATTTGTGTCAATCTACAGTCCTGTTTTCATATAAATATCCCAGTCAACCCTCACAATCAATTTGTGAAGAAAGCCGTTTTACACAGAATCAAATACATTACATTCTATACTCATTTACTAAAAAGAACAGCAACATTTGAGGAGGTTAAATGGCTAGCCCAAGGTCATCCGGATATCATTATTAAACCAGGACATAGAACTGGGTCCTCTGACCGCAGGCTCACTCTCTTGGCACCACACATGGGATGCTTTAGCGTTAAGCAATCTTAGAAGTCATCCTGCCCAACCTCCAGAAAGGCATCCTCAGGCAAGGCTGGCTCTTTTGAGGTTTTATTAGGGACCGCAATCCCAGGGAAGCAAGAGCGAGGGAGAAGGGAAGTGAGGCAGAAGTGGAGGGAGAACAAAGTGTGTGTTACTGAGTCAGCCCTGCTTGTAGCAAGCTGATGTTTATTGAGCATATGCCTTCTTTGTCAGGCACTGTTCTAAGGATGTCACAGGTAGTAACTCCTTTAGCGCCCGCAACAACCTCGTGTACTCTTGAGATATGGACTATTATTACCTTTGTGCCACAGACTGAATGTTTGTGTCCACCACACCCCTAAATCCATATGTTGAAACCTAATCCCCATTGTCACAGTATTTGAAGGTGGGACCTTTGGGAGGTGACCAGGTTAGGAGTGGGATTAGTGCCCTTACAAAAGAGGCACAAGAGAGCTCCTTCGCCCCTTCCACCCTGTGAGGACACAGCAAGAAGATGGATGTCTACGACCCAGGAAGCAGGCTCTCCCCAGACACCAAGTCTGCCAGCACCTTGATCCTGGACTTCTCAGCCTCCAGAACTGTGAGAAATAAATGTTTGTTGTTTAAGCCACTCAGTCTATGGGATTCTAACAGCCTGCATGGACTACGACGCCTCGTTTTATACGAATAAGACAACTGAGGCATGAAGAGGGTAAGTAACTCGCTCAGGATTACTCAGCTAGTGAATGTTATGCTTGTTTAAAGCTGGCTGTCTCACTGTAGATGCTACACACTCAACTCCTAGGCTTTCCTGCCTCTCCAGTAATGGAGCTTTCACAGGGGTAGTTAAGGCAAGAGGCAGAATGTGGCCCATCCTCCCAAGATAAGACTAAGGCGTCGAATTGTATGTGTATAAATTGTATGCCACTCAGGCTTTGAATGAAAACTGCTTCAAGGCAGAAGCTGTTTCATTTAAATCTACTGTACAAAATCTTACTAATCACTGTAGAAGCAAGGACTTTCTATTATTTTAAAGATTGGTTTTTAAAATTTTATTTTGTCAAGGGTTGGAGAGCAAATGCTGCTTTCATACTTAGGATAAATTCTTTTACAAGTGGGATTTTGATCAAAATTCTTATATAATCATAAGAGTTTCAATTTTCAGCCATCACCCACTTATTTCTCCTGGTATTTTATGTAACCCAATCCTAGAATACAAAGTAAGTAAGGCAGAATCAAGGTCATGGAGTCCTCTTAGTGATGCGAAGGTAACAGTGCCACACGCAATCCCCAGATCACCTGGTATGAATCTACGGAACGTTTTCATTGACATTAACCACTGTGAAGTCACTGTCTCAGAAAGGTCTACAGTAAGAGGTAGTTGAGAACCAAGCCGGCAGTCTCCCAGGAACAGACAACACTCGAAATGGGTGACATTTGTTGTGTGAGTATAATAAATGCCACTGCGATTGCTTGCTTACAGGGCTTCTTCAGAGATTTAGTAAATCTTTGAAGAATTCCATGGCCTATGAGCTAAGAGGAGCTACAGGAACACTCGAGAATGTTATAAGATAAAATCTGCCCAAGAACTACTGGTTTTACAGCAAGCAGTATTAGTTTTTCATCCATTCATTAACTTACGTAGACACACAGGGACGATAGCAAACCATCCTCAGATTTTTGAAGGATAGCGATTCCTGGAGAATAGCATTATAGAAAATCAATTTATAAAAACAACTCATTTGCATTTCTAAAGCTGTAGCTGTGTCAATGTTTTAATTTCCTTGGTTCTGACAATTGTTTTTAACACTTTCTCCACCAAAAGCAGAGTTTTAACTGTTTTTATTTAATATTGTATGCTTAGTGCCTAGAACAGTCTGGTTATTAGAGATGCACAATATATATTGAATAAATGGATGTACAAGATTTTGAAACAGAAGTGTTTTCATGTAATGTGTGCATGTAGTATGGCACTGGTAGCCTGCACTCAGCACTGCTCATTGGAGAGTGAGCAATGACCAAGGGCACCACCAATGGCAACCCAACTTGTAACAAACTGAGGAAGACAGCATTCATCTGTCTTAACGAAAGCACCTTATGTTAAAGATCATTCCAGTCCTTTGTTTCTGTTTTAAACTGACCAAGCAATATTTTTAATATAATTTTGCTTCCCAGGTAACTCTTCAATTTAGTGAAGAGAATGCACTAAACTATTTATTCAAGCTCTCTAGTCTTTCTTGTCAGTTTTATTTCTCATTGTATACTTGTCAATTAGTCTCCTGCAAAGTTGATTAGTATGAATCTGTCCATAAAGGTCTTATCAATTTTTGATGTACTGAGAAAGATGACATCCCAGCCTCACAAAGTTGTGGAAAGAACAGTGATTTGGGGGGGAAGACAGATCTGAATTTAATTCTCAATTATAATGACTTAATCTGTGAGCTTTACAGTGACTATTTTTCTGAGCTTCAGTTTCATGATTTCCTGTTACGAAAATGTGGACAATAAGTGGTGTTGAGATGAAATATAAGCAATGGGCTTATAGGTGGTTCATAGTAAATGCAATGTGTTATTTTTCTTTCCTTTTTCTCCACAAAGAAGAAAGACTAGACAGACTGGTATTTGTGGACCCAAAAATGATGCTGCCTGCCAGCATGCAGCCACAAAAGCTTGCAAGTATTCCAGATGATATTGCTACTCTATTTCCTAAATTGGAATGTCCTAGGTGTCACAGCAGAGATTGCATGATTTCGGGGCTCAGCTCCTGCTTGGTCTTATTCAGGTATTGATGAGCCCCCTTAGCCTACAGTCAGCTCTGTCTAGCTTCTGTCTGCCAGTCCTATTCCTGTCAGCAGGTGGATCTGGAAATAATCTCTTTGCCCTAAGCCTATTGAGGACTTTAGGGTCCAGCGTGCCTGTGTTAGTCAGGGTTCTCCAGACAAACAGAACCAATAGAGATATACAGATAAATAGAATGAGATTTATTATAAGGAACTGGCTCACACAGTCATGAGGTTGAGAAGTTCCACAACCTATTGTCTGCAAGCTGGCGACCCAGGAACGCCAGTGGTCTAGTTCAAAGGCCTAAGAGTCAGAGAGCCCGTGGTGTAGAATCCAGTCTGAATCTGAAGGTCTGAGAACCAGCCGCACCAAGGGCAGGAGAAGATGGATGTCCCAGCTCAACTAGTCAGGTAGAGAGTGAATTCAACCTTCCTCAGCATTTTTGTTCTCTTCAAGCCCTCAAAGAATTTGATGATGCCCACCCATATCTGCTTTACTCAGTCCTTCCGTTCAAATGCTATTCTTTTTGGAAACTCTCTCATAGACACTTCTCAAAATAATGTTTAACCAGATATCTGGGCATCCCATGGCCCAGTCAAGTTAACACATAAAATTAACCGTCACAATGCCTATCAAGCTATAGCATCCAAGTTACCATTGTATTGAAGGCTGGCCCTTGGGTGCTACCTACTATTTGGCCTTAACCCCAAACCCATTCATTTCCCATTATTATCCTTTCTCAATGATCAATGATATACAGCTTCTTCCTGGGGTAGGTAAATTATACAATTAGAGGATTATATATATATATACTTTTCAATTTAAAAAGCAGTTATTTAAATAATTTACCATTTTCCTCAAGCTGTTACCTTGAGGTCCCATACCACCTTAAAACTGGTACTGTAGGAGTTATATCATTGACTATCTAAACAAACATATTTCATTCTACCTTTTGATATATCTAGTGGGCCAAAAAGTCTTATTTTCATAATACAGCAACTTTGCTTTGTCAGATTTATTTGAATAGGAGAGAAAACAGATGGTTTTTATATGCTGAGACTTACAAATATGGGCATTACCTTTAAAAACTCTAAGTAATATTGCTGAATATTTGTCAAATGACAAAATTATGAATGATTTAGGAAATTAGAGTATTTAAATTAAGCCAGGGTTTGGGTAAAATCCTCTGTGAAATTTACCTACCCCAGAAAGAAGGGATATATCATAATTCTAGTCAAAACAAGCTTCTTCTAAAATAATTTTAGGTCCTTGTTTGCTGTGCTGACCTAAAACATAACTACATATATTCTCTTTATTTCCAAGATATACAACACTAATATGGACAAATATTCAATCAGAAAAAAACATGCAAGACAAATATGCACATAAACGATAAACTCTTTTTAAACATGTATGACTAGATGGCAGACGCATTTCTAATCTATATCTCAATGAACCACATGGCTCACCAACTCACAAGGCATTCTACAATTATCAAGACTGAACTATTAAAAATCAAGTTAGTTGAGATACAATTTATACTCAGCAAAATGCACCTATTTTCAGTGTACACTTCCATGAGATTTACGAATGCATGTAGTTGCGACACCACCACTACAGTCACGATGCAGAATATTTTCACTCCCTCAAATTACCCTCATGCCCCTTTTGCAGTAAAGCTCCCCCACCCTCGCATCTTTTCAACCCTAAGTAACCACTTCTTTGATTTCCATTACTATAAATTAGAGTTGTCTTTTCCAGATTTTCATACAAATGGGATTATGCAGTATATACCTTTTGGTACCTGGCTTTCTTCATTCAGCATACTGTTTTAGAGACTCGCTCATGTTGTTGCATATGCCAGTAGTTATTTCTTTTTATTGCTGAGTAGTATTCCATTGTATGGATGCACCAAATCTTATTCTCCATTCACCCTGTTGATAGACAGTAGGGTTGTGTAGAGTTTGGGCCTATTATATATAAAGCTGCTATTCACGTACAAGCCTTTTTGTAGACGTAGACGTTCTTTCTTTTGGGTAAATATCTAGAAGTGCAATTGCTAGGTTATATGGCAAGCACATGTTTAATTTCATAAGAAACTGTTACACTATTTTCCACAGTGTTGATATCATTTCATATTCCATAAAATATTCATGAGAATTCCAGTTGCTCTATATCCTCGACAGTGTTTTATTTCAGACACTCTACTGGGTGTGCAGTGGTATCTCATTGTGGTTTTACTTTGTATTTCTCTGATGACCAATGATGTTGAACATGTTTTCATGTGCTCACAACCATTTATAAATCTTTTAGAAAGTATCTGTTCACATTTTTTGCCCAGTCTTTTGTCAGAAATAGATACTGCAAATATTTTCTCCCAATCCGTGGATTGCCTTTTCATTTTCTTAATGCTCCCTTAAGAAGAGCAGATGTGTTGTACACGTATGTATACAGTTGACTCTTCCTTTTTTCCAGTTTGATCTTTTCTGCCTTTTATTAAAGTGTTTACGTGAATTACGTTTAAGATAGTTATTGATGTGTTTGGGTTTAAATCTACCATCTTACTATTTGTCTTTCATTTTTCCTATCTGTTCTTTCTTGGTTGTTTTTTCCTTTCTTGTCTTCTTTTGAATTGAGTATTTTTATGATTCTTTGTCTCCCATATTAGATATTAGCTGTTATTCTTTGCTTAATGTTTTCAGTGTTTTACTGAAGGTTAAACATCTCATCTTTAACTTATCACAGTCTCACAGTCTACTTCCAAATATTATGCTATTTCACATACAGTGGCCCTCCATCCTTTTTTCTATTGTTGACATACATTTTACTTTTAAATATGTTGTAAATTCCACAAAAAATTGTCATTATTTTTATTTTCACTGCTCAATTATCTTTCAAAGTAAATTTCTAAACGAAAAAAACCTGCCTGGTATATTTGCCCACGTGTTTACCATTTGTAGCACTCTTCATTCCTTTATATAGATCTAATTTTCCATCTGGATTGTTTATTTCCACCTGAAGAACTTGCTTTAATATTTCTCATAATGAAAGTCTCTGTCAATGAATTCTATCAGCTTCTATTGGTCTGACAAAGTTTTGAATTAGGCTTCATTTTTGAAGGATATTTGTACTGGCTATAGAAATTGAAGTTGACGGTCTCCACTTCTTTCAGCACCTTAAAGATATTACCCCAACATCTTCTAACTTGCATAGTGCCTAATTATGTCTGAAACAATTCTATCTCATTCCTGTGTACATAATGTGCCTTTTTCTCCTCTGGCTACTTTTAAGATTTTTCTCTTTATCATTGGTGGGTATTGTTTTATACTTGGAGTATTAGAGATTTTTGCACTGTGGGTTTATAATTTTTGTCAAATTTGAAAACATTTTGGCCATTATTATTTAAATATATTTTCTGTTCCCTCCACTGTCTCTGTCTCTTTTCCATCTGAGACTCCAATTACACATATCTTAGACCGCATGATATTATCCCACATGTCACTGAGACTCAGTTAATTTTTTTAGTCTTTTTCTTCTCTGTGATTTATTATTGGATGGATTCTATTGCTATGTGTTCAAAATCATATGTTTTTTTGTTCTACAATATGTAGCTATCTGTTGATTCCACACATGAAAATTTCACTTCAGATACTATATATTTCA